AATGAGGGGTTCGGGTTGACAAGGGCCTAGCTCTCCTTATCTTCCTGCCTTCCCATGTTCTCCACACTCTGGTTCCTCACCCTACTGCACACACAGATGTCAACAGCTGGCACAATGCCTCTCAGGTGACATTCTGTAGTCACCAAGCCAATTGATAAGAGTTCACCAGAGAGCTGGGTGCTTCAGTGATCTCCTTTCAGAATAACTTTACACTTTCCTACAACTGTAAGACTTCATCCATATATTTTCCTAGGGCTGCCCCCAGTGCCCAATAGGAGCTTGATTCAGATACTATTGAACCAAATCAGAGGAACCCATCTCAGCCGGAAACCATGGCCTTTAGATGAATCCCCATCTCCCTAACAGAAGATGAGTTCATATGCATGACTCCCACTGGAATTCTAACTGTTGGAGAATACATGGTCTGTGGTAGAGGGCTTGTTGACAGTCCTGTCACACTCATCTCTGAGAGTGTAGTTTGTGTTGGTGTCTGTGTGTGGATGTGTGCACACATTTGTGTACACCATTATCAGCATTTACATCTGTCTCTTCCACCTCCACTCACTCCACCCTTGATGACATTGCATCCCTATGGTTCCCCTTGTGTTTTTTCTGCAGCCTTCCTGCTTTCAACTCCTGCTCCAGTTAGGGACACAAACCATAGGTGAGGATCTTTAAAAGCAGGTGGGAAGAGGAGTACCTTTGGCTGTGACTTCAGTGCCACTATGGAATTTAGGACAAAATCCAAAACTCTTCTTTGTGACTGACAAAGCCCTGCGTAACCTCAGTACCATTTGCTTTTCATTTCAATTTAACCAACACCTTCCCTTCTCCAGAATGAATGTTAATTTTTCTTAAGATCTATGTATTAACAAGCTCTAAGCCTGCTGTACTACCTCAGCTACACTAGTTAATCTGTTTTTCATTTTTCTCGAGTTTATCTTTCAAGTTTTTGAAAGAAATGTATAGAAGCTGCTTTAATATAAGATTTACTGAGTAAAATTTGCATAGCTGGAAATTAAACATGCAGATAGATCTGTGACCATTATCACAATCTAAACTAACATTTCAGGTACCTCAACAAAACCTCTCATTGAAAAAAAGAGTTCATCAGATGCATAAAGCATAGTAAAATCTGTGCAATAGGCAATTACTCAGCACTACCACCATAGATCTGAAATGTGTTATACTGAATGGAGGAAGTTAGATTCAGGAAATTGCTTTGTTTTTTGGTTTTTGGTTTTTTTGAGACAGGGTTTCTCTGTGTAACTTTGGAGCCTATCCTGGCACTCGCTCTGGAGACCAGGCTGGCCTTGAACTCAGAGAGATCCACCTGCCTCTGCCCGAGTGCTGGGATTAAAGGCGTGCGCCACCAACACCCGGAAGATTTAGGAAATTGCATGTCAAATGATTCTATTGATATGAAAACCTAGAAATGGGAGAACTATGAAGATATTAAATATCCTGTCTGCTACCAGAGTCTGAGGTTGGGCAGGGACTGATTACAAAGGTACATAAGAAAACTTCTTCATAGCTTTTACTATTATCTATTGTAACCTTGAATATTGACTTACTTACTTATCCATTTTAACCTTATTTTAAAAGGCACATTTCAAGAGGAAAGGAATCATACCTGTCTTATTCATGTCTATATTTCCAAAAATTAGCCTGATGCCTGTCACCTGAAGGGTGTTCAATCATCCTGTATTTAGTAAATCAATGGTTATGTAAACATTACCCCACATCAGCCTTCGATCTCAGCCCAAATCCACAATCACATCCTGTGAATACCACCTCCTACATGTAGACTCTGGTTATTCCTTTCCTCTAGTTTCATAAACACACCATTCCCTTGTTATCTTTTTCCTTGACAACTATGATAACTTCATTGATGACTACTTTATGTGCCACCCTAGAGCCTTCAACTAGTAGCTGATGGAAGGAGACACAAACACCCACAGCTAAACACTGAGCTGAACTCTGGAATCCAGTTGCAGAGAGGGAGGAGTGTCATCACTTTGGTCTTGACTCAAAGGAATCAAGACCAGGCTGGAGAAACCCACAGAAACAGCTGACCTGAACAAGGGGTTTCTCATGGACCCCAGACTGATAGCTAGGAAACCATCATAGGACTGTTCCAGACCCCCTGAATGAGGATGTCAGTTTGGAGGTCTGGTTAATCTATGGGCCCTCTAGTAGTGGATCAGTATTTATCCCTAGTACATGAATGAACTTTAGGAGCCCACTCAACATAGAGGGTCTAGGCCCTGCTCCAAATGAGATGACAGACTTTGAAGATCCCCCATGGAAGGCTTCACCCTCCCTGGGGAGCAAAAAGGGGATGGGATAAGGGGTTGGTGGAGGGCAGGGGAGGAGGGGAGGGAGAGGGAACTGGACTGACATGTAAAAGAAGTTTGTTTTAATTTAAAATTGGTCTAATTACAATTATAAAAATTAAATTAAATTAAAATTTTAAAAAGAGTAGTTTTCTTGCCTACAGACTTGCCTTTCAATCTGTCTTTAAATGCTACTATGAACAAACTGAAGCACATCACTTTCCTGTTTTAAAGAAGAAGGTGGTGGTTCCCCCTTCCCTATCAGCCAGCCTCACCATGGATCTTCCCTCTTTCAAGTGCCCAGCTCAGCTCCCCATCCTGATATACCACCCAGAACCAAAATGTTGTTGTTTATCCTAAGGGCTACCTAGAACCATGCATGTGTCTCAGCTCTGGAGAGTCCCTGATGACCAACTGTCCCCACCCTTTGCTGGCCCTCACTCGTAGTTTACATGAAGACTTCAGGTCACCAAATTTAAGATGAATATTTAAGCACTTAAAGCCATCAGTGGAAGTTACACAACTTTAAACCAGGGCATTTCTCAAGCAGTTACAGCCATAACCTCAGTTCTAACAATCCTTGTGCACTGAATTTTGAAGACCTACATGTTTCAGATAGATATAGTGGACATTTCTGGTCATACTTAGTATTTTGAAAAGAATTAAGATGTTGGCATTTACTTTTATTGAGTTATACCAATTGGCTGAAATATGTGAGTAAATGCCTAGTGCAGTCTTTGTCTAATATTAACAAGAGTGGGGTACATCAAAATCAAATTTAGTATGTGCCACCAAACCCTGAAATATAAAATCCCTACCATTGTCTTTTAGTGTCCAAAGGAGATTAGTTCCTGGACTCCTTTTTCATTGGCACCAAAACTTGAAGTTGCCCCTGTCCCTTATATAAAAAGGCAGAGTACTTGTATATAATCTGCAAGGCTTCCCATGCAGTTCAAAGTCATCTCTGGATTACTGCAATACCTGATAAGATGTATGTTATGTAAATATAATACTTGTTATATTTATCATTTAATATGACAAGATTGAAAGGTCTGCATATGTTTAGAACAGAGATGCTTATCATAGCCATAACACATTTTGAGCTGCAGATGGTTCAATCTACAGACATAAAGTTTTGGATAAAGGCCCATCAAAATTATACAATCCAGGATGTTGAAACAATCAGAAAACCAACAAAACATTTCAAGACCCCTGATACCCAAGAATATGTAAGAAAAAAATTAAGAACCAGTCTGCCTCCATCTTAAGCTTAAAAGCCATCTCATAGTAAAGACAAACTAGGTTTATTTTTGTTTATGGTTAAACATGTTTTTCAAGGATTAGGCTATGCTCTATCTGTAACCTTAACTACAAATGGTTCTGTATTGCCTGATCCAGGAGTGGCAATTGTGTCTCTGTTTCAAAAGGATATATATCACCTCCTCTGACTATCTTTATGACTACCTGTTGTGATTCCCTTGCTTTGACCACCTGATATGTTCTGCTCCTGTAACCCTACTCATTTTCCCCATTTGGAAACCCACAGCCCCTGAGCTCTAAGAAATCTTGTCTTCCTCACATCTAGTGCTGACCTCTTGAACCCCCACCTTAGGTGGAGGCAGCCCATGTACACATACCAAAAAGCTTGCTTTAATTAATTGCTTGTTTTAATTAATTTGGCTATGATGATTTGTGTCTGTGGTCTCATTGCTCACATGTTTAGGATTAATACTATATGAATATATTGCATAAACAAATAAATGAAAACTTTCTAACATTCAAAATTTAAAATAACTGCACACAGATCAAGGCACAACCATTATCTGCTTCATCGGTTATTGTAAAATTATTGCTTTTTCTTAGATAACAAATTGATCATATGACTCATTTCCCTTTCAAGGAAATACTCATCAAAATGGAGTTTATCAATAGTCCCTATCTGCATAATAGTTTGCAGTGAAAGTAGTGAATAAGAACACAACTACACATCACATTTGCCTCATAAAATTATATTTTTGTAAAAAGCTTGCCTTCCATCAATTTAGTTTGGAAAGCCATCCCCAACACTGCCTCTCTTTCTTTTTGTCTCTCTGTCCCCACTCTGAACATACACACACACATTTGCCATAATTTAGGTATAGTTTCCACAGTGAGCCACCTAACACACTTCATTTTATCAGGTCTTTGAGACCAAAATTTGGCCAGTCAAAGTCAACAGACATAATGTAAAGCTACAAATACAGGAAGAAATTATGTTTTACTTTGGTTTGCTTCATTTTGGATTTTGAGACAGGGTCTCACTATGTAGCCCTGGATGGTCTAGAACTCACTATATAAAGCAGGTTAGCCTCAAACTCAAAGAAGCCTCTGCTTCAAGCTTTTACTTTTGAGATCATCAACTCTAAGAATAATACATGCCTCTGGCTAAAATTTTCTACCCTTACTGAAAATGAAAGCAACAATTAATAAAGCTAATAATATCAGTGGGATAAAGCCTTAATAATGTCCACAAGCCATGGATCCAGCCAAGCCTTAACTCAACCTCCCCCTGGATTTACAGACTTCATAAAGCAATAAAGTGCCTCTTTTATTGCCATGTTGGAAGGTACTAAAGTGTGAAAACTTAAGATTTTTGCCTATATACTTTAATTGGGGTTAATTTACCTGGAAATGATAGAAGATGTGATTGATCCGATCTACGTGATGCAGAAAAATCCTTCATGTGGGTAAGAAACCTGGCACAGGGCAGGGCTCTCTTTTCATAATGAGAGTTAGGCTGTGAGGTAAAAGAGAAAAATAAACCCAACAATGTTAGGTCTGCAACTCCACAAACAAGTCACATCAACTACAACCCTTACTTCACTAAACAAATGACTTTGTAATAGCATTTGTGTCTCTTTTTTCTTTAAAAGCTACAATCCGGAAAACAACTACAATTGACTCTTGTTGCCCACAGTACACACATCCTCACTCTGTGTTTCATTAAAGGGCTCAGTGAACATTTTCTGGTCATAACAGAAAAAATATTTTTTACCAAGTTCCACTATGTGCCAGAAATGGTTCATAAACTGACATTTTAGTCAAGGGTGACAAAAAAAGAACAATAGATATCAAATGAATACTTTTTTGTGTTGTCACTAAGATGAAAACAAGATAAGGCTAAAAGTAATGGGGAAATGCCTGGCACTTCCAGAGGCTACAAGACCCAAGACCTAGGATAGAAACAAACACAACTGGAGAAAAAAATGTCAATGTAATGATGCCTAATGATATTCTGCTGTACTCATAGATTGGTGACTATCCCAATTGTCATCAGAGAGGCTTCATCCAGTAACTAAAGGAAACAGATGGCAGAAACTCACAGCCAAACATTAGGCCAAGCTTGGGGGACCCTGCTGAAGAGAGGAAGTAAGGATTATAGGATCCAGGGGGGTCAAAGACATCACAAGAAAACCCACAGAATCAACTACCTGGGCTCATAGGAGCTCACAGGGTCTGAACCAACAACCAGGGAGCCTGAATAGGACTGACCTAGACCCTCTGCATATATGTGACAGTTGTATAGCTTGGAGCTGTGCCTAACACATTAGCTGGCTTTGAAGAACCTATTCCTCATACTGGGTTGCCTTGCCCAGCCTTAATACAAGGGGAAGTGTTTAGTCTTACTGCAATTTGATATGCCATGTTTTGTTCGTATCCAAGGGAAGCCCGGCCCTTTCTGAACAGAAACAGAGAAGGGGTAGATTGGGGGGTGGGAGATGAGAGGAGAGGAGGGAGGGAAACCACTCCACAAAAAAGAAAAGAAAAAAGAGTAAATAAATCCTTTCTTCTCCTTCAGTCACTTCTGACTAGAGTGCTCTGTAAACAGCAACAAAAATGAAGCTAGAACAGTGTCCGGGTTTCATTCCTCCATTCCATTTGTCTCCGCAGGAACTCAGGTGAGTTGTCTCCCCATTCCTCCGTTTCTGTTTTGTTCTAGAGCTAAATATTGTTAACTATAGTTTTGTTATATATAATTCTAATATGTTAAAGTTAAAACCTTTCTTTTTATTTAGACAGAAAAGAGGATATGATGGGTGATGTACTTCTGTGTATATGTTTCTCTTATTGGTTGATGAATAAAGCACTGTTTGACCAATAGCCAGGCAGAAAGATAGGTGGGGCTACCAGACCAGGAAAAGGCTGGGGAGAGAGAGACTGAGAGAAGCCATGAAGAGACACCATACTGCCAAAGGAGTAACATGCCGGATTGTGGGTAAGCCACAGCCTTGTGGCAATACTTAGATTAATAGAAACAGGTTAATAATTAAGACAGAGCTAGCCAATAAGAAGCCTAAGCAATCAGCCAAACAGTATAAATATTAATATAGCATTTGTGTGTTTATTTGAAGCATGGCAGTACAGAAACTTCTATCATCACTCTCCACCAATCATTATCCTTACTTTAAAATGGAGCACTGAGTACCCTCCAAGACTGTGGAAGATGGAAGGGAGTACCAGATCTATTCTTCTCAAACCCACATTCTTAACCACACATCATACACTTCCTTTTATCAGTGCTGTCACATCCAGCTCTACAAATGCACAATGCAGGCAGGTTACCCAGAACTCCTATTTCTCTCGTGGTCTCCTATCAGTTCAACTTTGAATCTCACCTCTCAAGATCCTCAGACCCACTCACTCACTCCCCCACAGTCCTTTAGTACTAGCGATTTTAGCTACATATAACCTTGTCTGCTGTTTGCCTTCACAGAATTCTCCTTTTCATATTCTGTTTCTAAAAGAAAAACCTAAATGAGGTACACTCTTAACTGTGTTTTAAGCAGTTGTCCATAACTGTCATCTTTAAAAAGTCATCTGGGGAAGGAGGACTGATGAGCAAAGGGGTCCATACAAGGCTGGTGAAACCCACAGAAACAGCTGACCTGAACAAGGGAAATCTCTTGGTCCCCAGACTGAAAGCTGGGAAACCAGCCTGGGACTGATCCAGACCCCATGAATGTGGGTGTCAGTGAGGAGATCTTGCAAATCTATAGGGCCTCTTGTAGTGGATCAGTACTTACCACTACCATAGGAATGAACTTTCGGAGCCTATCCCACATGGAGGGGCACTCCATGAGCCTAGACACAAGGGGGTTGGCCTAGGCCCTATCCCAAAGAATATGACAGACTTTGAAGACCCCCCCATGGCAGGCCTCACCCTCCCTGGGGACCAGAAAGGGTATGGGATAGGTAGGGCAGGGGGGGGGAGAAGGGAGGGAGAGGGACCTGGGATTGACATGTAAAATAATTTTCTTTCTAATAATAAAAAATCATCTGGGGGAATATCTATTTTACAATACAAATTCTAATGCAAAATGCCTATAGCAGAGTACAGGAGGATACAGTTATTTTTTTAAAAAAAAAATCTACCCAGGCAATTAATACAAATAACCAATAACTTCTTTTAGAGCATGGTGCTGGCTCAGTAGCACCACCCAGAAGCCTATTACATGAGGAGGTCCTCACAGTCCACTAGATCTACTCCGTGGATCTGCATCATCGAAGTTTCCAGGTGATTAAGACCTAGACATTTTGATGTAAAGGACTTAATGCATTCTATAAATGAAGAAGCCAATCATGAACCAGACTTCTGCCTCTTCCTCTACCTGCAGACCAGAGGACTCTCTCCTCTGCAGTTGGAACATGACAAACTATGGAAGTCCAGGCATCAACAGCTAATGTAGTCCATGCCCCTTGCCATAGTCATCCAGTGCCTTAGCATAAGTCCTGCTACATGAGACGTGAGGCTTTATATTGGGCTATGTTGGATTGAACTGAATAGAATTGTTTTAAAACACACATTGAAATGCATTGTTACGTTCAAGGCCTGTGTTTCATGTAGTTAGGACTGAACTGGAATAATGGAGAATGGATGGAGAGGAGGCTGCCAGTGTCATGAGACAAATGACCGTGACTTCTTAAAAAGGGAACATCTCGCCATTGGGAAGGGATGCCTCTCTACGAAGACCGGTTACAACCACTTAATTCAGTGTCTGAACTTGGCACATGCACTATATTTTAAAGCACAGCCCCACCTTTTGTGGGGGGAATAGAAAACTTTCACCACAAGGGTACAAGAACAGTCAATATTGATCTTCTTGACAAATGGCAAATGGCGCACCTCATGCCACAGGCCGCTCGAGCGTCCGCTCAGCACAGCAGCCTTCCCCTTTGTCAGGATAAAATGCCAAGTGGCCTCATGCACTATCAGCTGCAGATCACAAATATTGAAAAGAAATAAATTTCGCTGAATGAAAAGCACCTTTCTTTGTTTTCCAACCCTCTCTCCTCCCAAGTCATGTTGATTTTGGGGCTGTGCATACTCCCAGCACCTGTACTTTTCAATTGTTTGTTTGCCAAGCCCATTGTGTTTTTCTTGCTTGGCTTGAGGATCCATTCTAAGTACAGTAACCAATGAAATCATAGTTTCTTTCTCTCTTGGCATTATGTAAAGGAAGCAGCCGCTTTGGGCCACCTACGGCAACTGTAATTAGAAGACACAGGAGGACAGAATAAGAAATTGGAGCTCTTATACCCAGACTTCTCCCTTAGGATCCTGCGATATACATCTGCCCTGCAGACCAAAAGCAAAAGCAGGAATTTCTGCAACATTCTTATTATTTGGCTGAGGTTTTTAACATCATTAAAGGTGATGATTTTTAACTTGTTTTGCAGAAATCTGCAGCCATTTTTTAATTGAGAGTTGAGACCTAAAACAATTAACAACACAAGAAATAATCTTGCAATATGTGTGCTACGATCTAAATAACCACAGGGGTTGAATACACACTACAGGACTGAGGAGCGGATGGAATCTCCAAAGCAAAGGGAAATAGGATATATAATGTTATGGGGAGATAAAGGAGAAACTAGAATAGGAGGAGTAAATGGGAATAGGGAGGAGAGAAGGGTAAAAGATGGAATGTGAGGAGGTACAACTAACATCGGAAGCCTTTTGAAAAACTATATGGAAGCCTATTAGAGTAAAAGTTTCTTAAATGTATCTACATATATAAAAGTAACTTCAATGAAGTCACCATATAATGGGGGAGAGAATGCCCCAATCAAACATCCCATGCCACCAAGTAAAACCATCAGTGCCAGAAATGGGTTACATCTTGTTGCATTGTTAGCCAAAGGCCATAGACACAGCCAGGGCTATTGGTTATTCTCTACAACCTGACAATAAAGTCTTATCGCTGAGGAGAACACTTATGTCTTGAACACAAGAAATGTGAGCTCACACTCAACTAGAAGCTTCACCCCTGCACTGTCTAATGTTCATGGAGCTGGAAGGTACTCTTTGCACACCAGCAGGAGAACAGTGATCGCTCACATCACCCAGCTATAAAACCAGTGACCTGAAGTTGTAACACCCCTAACCTACCTCAAGGACAATCCCACCACACAGAAGGGCATCTGTCATTTTTTTTCTGCTTTTATTTCACTTTCATGAATTTGGGAGTCCAGACTACAATTCTGGATCCACATAGTTTGCGTAAAACAAACACTTATATTTGAGCACATCACTGCATACTCCATCCTATTGGTTGTAGAAACTGCAGTTCAGGACCAACAGCATGAGAAGAAAGGTCCTTCTGAAAATAAAAAAGTATCAGAAATTGTTTACAATATTGAAAACTAAATTACTAAAAGCAAAAGATTTATGTTCTCATAAGTAAGTTTATAGAAAATAAGCCAAGGAAAAATTTTATGATCAATAAAGACAGAGTA